TAGGAACCAGAGGAGATAGAAGAGCTTGCTCATTGCAAAAGGGGAAGCGGAGGAGCACTTGCAGAAGAGGCAAGGAGCTCCTTCACTTGCTACAAAGACACAGAGGAGCTTTCAGACGACGTATATTCAGAGATAGCGAAACTCGATCACGTAGAGATAGAGACTCTCTTAATAGAGACTAATGAGTTATGTCATGTCTCATTTATCGGACAGAGAATGGCCCAGGGCTACCTTCAAAACTCTTCATTGATAGAGAAGCTATTTCGGAAAACAAACATGGTGGAGAACTCTCTCATTCCTGCAATGTGATACAGGAGGTCTCTCATGACCTCTTGTGAGATAGAGACCGGTTGCATCAGGGAAGTTTTCCCTGGAAACCCTTTGCTATTCCCTTACTTTGGTGCTGCAACCATCACGTTCTTGTTCCTTAATGCCCCAGTAAACCCTTGGAGAAAGAGGTGTTTTCAAGATGTGGTGGGGTATCTCATGTAGGAATGTACAATGGTTAGACACTAGCGCTCTTGCTTTCAAGAAGCAGTCTTGCAAGTAATGGCTCTGGGTTATGTCACGGGTTTGTTACGGTAATAGGCAGACTACACAAATACACCCTCCATTAAATTCCCGTAGCCCTATAAACCCTACACCCTGCACGCGAATCCTGAGCCCCCTAAGACTCCTATGCCCCCTACGATGAGATATAGTTCATGGGAGAGCTCTTATACCGTTTATGAATGCATTCTTCTATCTTTGAGATGAAAGAGCTCCTCTATCTTCTCATAGGAAATGAAAGAGATCCTGCATATGAAAAGAAAAGACCCTTCGAGAAAAGTTAAAGAATGGTAACGAATCCATGTCATCAATCTTTTCATGCGTAATGAGAGCGCTCCCCACTCTTAATGGGACATGAAAGAGCTCCTCCATTTCTTTGAAATCAAAACCTTGCTTTCTCCCTGAGTGACAAAGATCTCTTGGAAATGAGAGATCTCTGCTACCACTTTCGAAAAAATGAGCTCCTATATCTCGGAGTCGGAAAGATAAAGATGTGAAAAGGAGACCTCCCAAACCTACGAGGCGCCAGAGCACCCGCCCGCAGCTTTTCAAGCAGGAGAAAGGCTCTTTCGTAAGGGGCGGAGGAGCTCTGTCATTCCCTCAACCAGAGGGAGGGGAGCCCTCTCATGACCTATTCAAGAGAGAGGAGATAGAAGAGCTTGCTCATTGCTCTTTAGGATGCGGAGGAGCTTTTGCACAAGAGGCAAGGAGCTCTTTTACTTCTACAAACGCATAGAAGAGCGTTTAGATGACCTGTTACGAAATAGAATAAATGCTGTCTCACGTAAGCGAGAGAGACTGATGAGTTATGCGACGCTCCATTTCAGGGATAGGCCTTCGAAACCTTCAATTAGGGTTGATCTCTCGCAAAAGGTAAAAGAGCTATGTCATTTCCTACGAAGCGATAAGCAGCCTAGAGACAATCGGCTTCTCTCATGTTTGCTTCATGGATAGAGAAGCTTTTCTCAACCAAAACCAAAGAGACGGATCATGTCCCATTGAAAGATAGACGAGTTCTGTCTTTGTACGTTACGAGGTGGGGGAGCTCTTTCACAAGAGGTAGGTAGAGGACTCTCATGTCCGGCAAAGAGATAGAGACGATCTTTCATGACCCGCTACGAGATAGAGAGCCTCTTTCATGTAAAGGGTAAGATATAGAAGAGCTGTGAGCTCCTTTGCCTATCGACGGGAACTCTTATAGCTTTCATGAATGAGTTCTTGCCAGTGAACAAAGGGAGCTCTTTCACAAAGGGTAGATAGAGACCTCTCTCATTTCCTGTAAAAGAAAGAGGAGGTCTCTCACGACCTGATTATTGCGAGATAGAGAAGCTATGTCATATAAAGATAAGAAATGGTAGAGCTGAGGACTCCTCTGCCTAGTGACGGTAAATCAGTTAGATAGGACATGAGAGAACTTTCATACATTTCTTATGAATGAGTTCTTCAATCTCTGAATAGAAAATGAATGAGCTCCTGTGTCTTCGCATACGAAATGACAGTGTGGAAATGAGCTGTCTCATGACCTGTTAGGAAACAGAGGAGATAAAGAGCTTGCTCATTGCAAAAGAGGAAGCGGAGGGCTCTTGCAGAAGAGGCAAGGAGCTCCTTCACTTGCTGCAAAGATACAGAGGAGCTTTCAGATGACCTATTCAGAGATAGCGAAACTCGATCACGTAAACGATAGAGATTGGAAAGTTATGTCATGCCCCATTTCAGGGATAGAGAATGGCCTTCCAGACTTTCATTTCGAATAAAGGAGAGATCTGTCACAGAAAGGTAGAAGAGCTATTCATTTCTTATTATATCACGGGTATACAAGCTTTTTCTCAAATACAAACAAAAAACCTGGCTCATGCACCATTGAAAGATAGACGAGTTCTGTCACTCTCGATCACAAGGTGGAGGAGCTCTTTCACACGAGGTAGAGCACTCTCTCTTTTCTTGCAAAGAGATAGAGAAGATCTGTCATGACTCCATGAACCGTTACGAGATAGAGAAGCCTCTTTCATGTAAAGGATAGGTCATGGTAGAGCTGAGAGCTCCTCTGCCTAGTGATGGCAAACGAGAAATAGGAACCAAAGGAGATAGAAGAGGTTGCTCATTGCAAAATAGGAAGCGGAGGAGCTATTGCAGAAGAGGCAAGCAGCTCCTTCACTTGCTGCGCAGACACAAAGGAGCTTTCAGATGACCTGTTCAGAGATAGCGAAACTCTCTCACGTAAACGATAGACTGATGAGTTGTGTCCCCATTCAAGGGATAGAGAATGGCCTTCCAAACTTTCATTTCGGGTAAAGAAGAGATCTGTCGCAAAAAGGTAGAAGAGCTATGTCATTTCTTATGCATCGATAAACGGCTACTCGCATGATTTCTTCATCGATAGAGAAGCAGCTATTTCTGAATAGAAATTCACAATGGAGCTGTCTCATGTCCCAGTGAAAGATAGACGAGTTGTGGCATTTGATTTTGAGGTGAAGGAGCTCTTTCACAAGAGGTAGGTAGAGGACTCTCTAATGTTCTGCAAAAGAGCACTTAGGGCAATTCTTTCTAGCACCCCTACGAGAGAAGGAGCCTCTTCATTAAAAGGTAGGGGAATGTGTTAGAGCTTGTGAGCTCCTCTATCCTAATCGAACGGAATTACACAAGAAAGTTAACATTCTGAGAGCCCTACAGCTTCTCTGAATTAGTTCTTTTGTGCATTGAAACAAGGGAGCTCTTTCACAAATTAAGTAGAGACTTCTCCATTTCCTGCAAAAGAAAGAGGAGGTCTCTCATGACCTATTGCGAGATAGAGAAGCTATGTCATAAAAAAGATACGAAATGGTAGAGCTGAGCGCTGGTGACGGCAAATGAACTAGGTAGGACATGAGAGAGCTCTTATACATTGTATGAGAGATTTCTTATATCTATATCTCTTGTGAACGAGTTCTTCAATCTCTGACTAGGAGATGAATGAGCTCCTGTATCTTCTCATACGAAATGACAGAATGGATATAAATGATGTCCTCTAGCTGTTAACGCAACATGAAAAAACCTCCTCTATCCCCTAAAAGAGAAGGAGAGAGGGAAGCCCGCTCATGACCTATTAGGAACCAGAGGAGATAAAAGAGCTTGCTCATTGCAAAAGAGGAAGCGGAGGGCTCTTGCAGAAGAGGCAAGGAGCTCCTTCACTTGCTGCAAAGATACAGAGGAGCTTTCAGATGACCTATTCAGAGATAGCGAAACTCTATCACGTAAACGATAGCGAGTGATGCGTTATGTCATGTCCCATTTGATGGACAGAGAATGGCCCAGAGTGGCCTTCAA